TTTTAGTCTTCGTCAATGCGACATTATAATGAAATTAAAAACTCAAACGATAAACTGCAGGATTTCATCTCATTATCTTTCATATACCTTATTCTCCTCAGAGATTCTTCTCTGCTTCTCAGAGTAACTCAACATCATCCTGCATCAAAGTTTGAGTTCCTGATTTTTGATAACTTGCCTGATAGTTTTGACTATGATCATGGACAGACCAAGTTCGATTTTCGGAAAGCCGATTACGTTAATATAGGTATACAATAGATTACTGAATTGACTGGAGTGTACTAGAAAACTTTAACGACCGTAACTAGACATGCTCTTTTTTGTATAGCATCCGAAATGACACACTCAGTATATACATTCTTACATATCGTAAAGCTTCATCTACCCCGATATTCTTCTGAAATTATTCATAATATCAGAAAAAAGCACTTGGTTCCATCTAATTTTAGAACATCCGGGATCACTACCTTTCAACGCCAGTTCGTCGAACTTATAACGCTTGTTAAACGCCAAATTAAAGTCGCCTATGCGGTATATATTCAAACGGTGAGGAACAATATGAAAGTTCCATAAAAATTTTGAAGCTTCATATTTTCAAAAAATTTCAATTCTGGAATTTCGAATGTTATGTGTTATGAAAATATAGATTATGATAACCCTCAAGCGATTGTGGAAGCATTTTGTCTCTTTTTCAAGTGTGTATCTGTCATCCAGAAGTTCTGAACGTTATCCGTAGATGTAATTATATAGCATCAAAAAACATGAAGAACAAAGTAACTTTCGTTAGTACGAAAACGCTTGAGAAAGCTATTATATAGCGAAACACGTGTTTGGGTTTTGTACACTGTCCAGTGAAAATCCTATAATAAAAAGTTACTTGAATATCGAGTGACAGCTATATTCTGCAATTTAGTGAAATTATCTGGAATACTTATTGACGAAACTGGTTTATGTTTTATGACAGGAAAGTTCAGTGCACCCAACTATCTTCGGACAGGCACCGCTCTATGAGCGGGTTAAGAATTATGCTGTAGTGCTTGTGGCTTGTGTTTTGTCCTTAAAAAATTGTTAGCATGTTTGACATAATTCATTTCAGAAGTACTAGACTCCAAAGGTCGAATTGATATGATGTATACTCACTCACAAAAAACATTCAACAGAATTGATCATCACATATTGTTGGCAAAGCTATATATGATATGAATTTCTGATTCTTTTTCATTCATTTGCACGAGATGTAAACGACGAAAATGGTGGTTATATGTCAGTCAAATTTCAAGCAGCTTCAGAAATACCCCAAGGGTCCAACCTGGGATCACTTTAATTTCTATTTTTCATTCATTATTAATCTCATTTGTTAAAATGCAATTATCTTTTTTGCTAACTACCTAAAAATCAGTCTCCCTATTTTTCGGGTTTGCAGGCCATCGATTTTTGGAATTTTTTCCTGACATTTCGCTAGCGCGAATGGCTAGCTTTTTCAGAGGTTTATAGTGCCTGAGTTGTCTTCGATGAGACTGAAAAACCCGACTTCCGAAGCCTCAACCATTAAACCGAAAAGTCTATAGCAGTATACATAATTTCAACGACTGCCATAACCCACAGAATGAATTTAATTTGGCAACCGATTGTATACAAAAAAACCGTATATCTGTTAAAATTGACAAATGTGAAGTTCTGTCATTCTCTACAAAACAAAACATGAAAAAATTTGCTTATAACATCAACAATAATGTTTTGAAAAGATGCCTCACAATGAAAGGTTTGTGAGTTTCATTCGATCCTAAACTAACACTTATAGATCATATTTCAGGATACTGTAAATGGTTCAATTCTGCAAATATGCTTGTCGGGACTGGTATATTATTCAGACGAACACAACGTTCATCAACAATAAAAGTTAATAACAACAAAACACGACGACACACAAAATTACAGGGTAACCTCGAGGAACTAACGCTAAGTCTTTTCTCGATCAGCGAGGAGACTCTAGAGCGGGTTTAGTTCTCGGCGGAAACCCCAGAATAAGAAATAGTTCCCGGCCGAGATCCCAGAACACAATGAATGCATCGGCCAAAAAATGTGTTCGAAGTAACTCTCGATAAATCATCACTGATAATGGTCGGGGTCATGAATATAGTCAAGAAGGGCCAACCACTTGGGCCCGAATCCCTTGTCCTAATCCATAAGAGAGTTAACGATGAGTACCTACTCGAAACATCCCAAGTGGTGTCGTTCTGAATATTCATCTGTTTTTTGGCAATACACTTTCGTTTCCATTTCAATAAAAATAAAAGAATTAACATAAAAACCTAAGCAGATGGATATTTTGGACTGTTGCATAGAATTATGAAAAGTTAATTTCCTAACAAAAATTTATGATACAAAATATGCTGGCTTGATTTAGTCGATTTTATCAGTACCCAACAAAATTGGTGGAATCTGTTTAGCGGAGAATTTTAAGTACAATGAGATAGCTATCCACTATCATGGCCCTTGTCTCTATCGAATCATGTCATCAATAATACAGAAAGTTCAAAATGCATGTACAAGATTGATTTTTGGTTTAAAAGCCAAAGATCATGTATCTTCTTTCATACATCAGATTGGGTAGTTGAAAATATTCAACAGAAGGGAATTGCTAACTTCATTCATAACCTCAGAATGAAACAACAACCTCTAAAGAAGTTGAAATAGAGACGTAATGGACAATATAGAAGTCTCAGAAATCGGAATGAATATTCTATCCCACAGCATAAATCCAAACAATTCGAGCGATCCTTCTCAGGAAGAGCGATCCTTCTATCGAAGAAAATATTAAATATATTTCTTTATTATCTTTCAAATATAGATTTTGAAAAAATGCCTGAATAAATAATGATCTTGAAACCATGTAACAAAAAAAAGTTTTTCAGAAAATTTCCCGTTTCACTTTACTTTTTAACAGTTTCCCAAAAATAATTTTTAAATTATTTTCATTTGTATGTTACATACAAATGTTAAATACAGTATCTAACTATGTTTGCTTGGTTGAGTGGGAGAATAGCTATTATGTGTGCTAAACTCCGCCAAGTAAAATAAAAGCCATTCATTATCGTTATTATTATATTTCATGAATAGGGATCTGAGTACAACATATCACTTGTAATGTATTCATATGAGTCTTTAAAATCACGTCGAAACTTGTCGACTGTAACATTCCTTTATAAAGTATTGAACAATAAGATAGAATGCTGGCCATTCAATTGGACCTCTTCTGCCAATCCATTGTCCTTCAAAATGATTATTCAAAAAATTTCGAACCTGCTGGGCATAATGAGGTGGTGCACCGTCTTGTTGAAAATGGATAAATTCATCTTGATATCTTGGATCCTGTTCAATTATTTCAACTATACGAGGTTGTATTGCCTCTTCAAGAAGTTGTAAATAAGAATCACCGGTTGAATTTCCATCAATGAAAAATGGACCTATAATATGATTGCCTAATATTCCGGCCCAGACATTCAACTTTTGGGGTATGTATTTCTGCGTATTGTCTTGGGTTTTCATCCGACCAATAAGGGCAATTGTGACGGTTCACGCAACCATTTGAATAAAATGAGCTTTCGTCCGAAAAACAGATGTTATAAAGCAGCTCGGGATTTTGCATTAATCTCTCACTCATGCCCTCACAAAACTCCTGTCTTCGGTCAGAATCATCCTCATTGAGTTCATGAACAAGTTTAATTTTGTAAGAATGGAATTTGTGGTTTTTAAGGATTCTCCATGCGCTCATATGGCTTATTAAGGCCATTGCTGATAAACCTCTGGTTCTTAACCTGGGATTGGCGATGACTCGACCAATCACTCCAATCGCATTATCGCCATTCACTAACCTTTTCTGAACATTTTTTTTCTTATTTAAACCGAACCTGTCTCCTTGAATTTTGTGACCAAATCCAGAACGTGATTTCTGCTTAGGTTTTTACCAGGGTTTTGCTCGTTAAATAAAATTGATGTTCTATTAGCATTTTGGTCGTTGCCAAAAAATAAAGCAATAAATGAAACCCTTTCAGCAGTAGTGTAAGGCATTTTTAAACAAATAACAATACACGACCCTTTCAAACAAAACAATCGAACGATGTATTAATGAAAACTGAAAGAAGAGGAGTGGATATTGATTTTAAAAAAGGGATTTCATTTAACAAAAAACTGATAAGAAGAACTGCTCGAAAAATTTTTTATTTAGGCATACAAGTTACCGAGTGGTCTCTCTAACGTATTATTAACATGGCAATTTTAACTTCAAATTATCTCGAAAACTAATCGTTACAAAATTTTTCTTTTAACAGAGTTGTAAAGGTATTCGAAAGACCTTTAAAACAAGGTGCCACTCTACCTACTTTCCCTATCTGAATAAGGGTCGTCGGACGCACCCCTCCGAGGGGGTGCGTACTACAAAAAATCTGATCAGTCTGAAAGGTGTCCCTCTTTAATTAGAAATCGACGTGTCCGAGCTTTTTTTCAAAATCTTACTTTTTTTATTCAAAAACGGCTCTGTTAAGTTTTCGTTGTTACACACTGTATAATTTTTATTTGACTATATAATTTTCATCAGCGAAATTTTCAATTACGTATGAAAACTATTTAAATATTGCTGTATTTTCTTATAAAATAAACCAACTCGATCAACGAATATAATAAACCCCTCACGCCCATGTACAAGTTTCTACCTTCAATGGGGATTCTCCCTCTTTATTTGACAATAAACTTATTATATTAATATCAATTCCATTGTGAATTTTGTATATTGATCAAATGAAGTTTATTATTATCATTATTGCTCAATAGGTGACGATATAGAAAACAGAAGCCCAATTTTCATTCAGTGAACTGGAAAAACAAAAATAATATTCTATTCCAGAGACATCTCGCTTTTATATATTTAGGAACGTTCTCATAATTTTACTTCACATTTCCATGTACTTCCCTTCGGCTCTACATAAAATGTAACTTTTCAGAAAGTGCACCGGCATTGGCAAAGGCAAGACAGATTCTCTCCGAGATTCCGGGATATGTTCCAGTTTACATTAGATCCGGCGAAACCCCACTGGAAGATATTAACCCCGATCTGGCTGAAGCTTTCAACTTTTATGCACAGAAACACGGAAGGCTCGCATTTGGCAGGTCCATTGAGGGGAAATCTGACAATTCTCAGATCAAAAGTGGATCTGAAGAAGATACATTTTCGGATATTGACTCAGTGTCAATCGAGGAGGATATAACTTCCAAGGATGACAATAGCGTTGCTGTTCCGGAGGAACCTGTTGAATCGAAATATATTCAAAAAATACCAAGATCGTGAAAAATTGTTGCTCATAGTTATAAAATATTTATTGTAAATAGGAATAAAATTAACATGTGATGAAGATGCGAGAGTAATAAATGTTTGACGAAACGTGTGTCTAAGTATAAGTGAACTTTTCTGGCATTTTTATTGATTGATTTTTATAATACTACCAAATACTATTTTTAATGTACTGAAGAACAAAATCATACAGTTGATAGCGTGGGTAATAAATGTTTGACAGAACGTGTGTCTAAATAAAAAAGAAGTTTCTGGCATTTCTATTGATTGACTGATAAAATAGTACCGAATACTATTTTTTATGTACTGAAGAACAAAATCAAACTGTTCAGGAAGAAGGAAATTCAGAACTTCCCTGAGTCAATAGCATGAAGAGGTAATATACCAATATAACTTCAAAAATATCTTAGAGAGATATACCAGTACGTTTATTGTCATCCTGTCTTCGAACGACAAAAATTTCATATACAGGGCGTCCCAACGAAAACCTGACCCCTCCCCTGTAAGTCAGAAACGGACGTGTAATCTAAAATTTCAAATTTCAATTTTTATTTTTAGGGGGACTGATTCTGATATGTGAATGATACCCGAAACTTCACTCCCCTGCGGTCAGCAATTACCCCCTCCTATTTTTTTCAATGGCATAGGTGTCGAGTGACACATCATTTGAAAGGCCTTTTGTCCCCTATTACTTCTGTGATTTTTTTCGAAATTGGTTCATTCGTTATTGGGAAATGGAACGTTGAACGTTTTATTTAAGAAAAAACGGAAAATTCGCTGTCGCTCATTTTATTGAGGAAATCAACAAAATTAATATCAATAGTAACACAATCAAAGGATAAAGTGTTCAAAATGAACTCCATTTAGTTCCATACAATAATACAGTTCACTTTCGAAAGCGTTCTTCACATTATTGAAGATGTCCGAAGTCAGAAATAGGCATTCCCGAACAATTCTCTGTCGCAGGTTTTCTGTTTAACGTTTTGATGGCTCACGTTGTGGTCTGGATGATTCTTATTATAGATTCTTGCAGCAACTTCATTTCAATAATACGTTGCAACAATTTCTATTCTTTCTTCAGTAGAATAAACCATGCTGGAACACATTGAACAAGGATAATTGAATACTAATTAATTCGCGAAGAAGTGACAGTGGCCAACTACTTACTTTTTGTTCTGCGACAACTAGATTTAACAAAAACTACCAGTGCAGAAAACACTAACAGTGTCGTCCATTTTAAAACGTTTACTACTAATTGAATAAATACTACAAATCTAGACCTGCGACAGGGAATTGTTCGGGAATGTTCTGACTATGGACGTCTTCAATAACGTAATAAACGCTTGCGAAAGAAGACTGTATTATTGTATGGACCTAGATGGATGTCATTTCGAACACTTCATCCGTTGATCGTATTACCATTGATATTACTTTTGTTGATTTCCTCAATAAAATGAGCGACAACGAATGTTTTGATGTTTCTTAAATAAAACGTTTAACATTTAATTTGTCAATAACGATTGAACCAATTTAGAAAAATGAAGGGACAAGAGACCTTCCAAATGATGTATCACTCGACTTCTCATGCCATAAAAAAATAGGTAGGGAAGTTGCTGACCGCAGGGAAGTGAAGTTTCAGGTATGATTTCCATATCAGAATTAGTCCCCCTTCACAGAAAACGGCCCAAGCGAAGCTCTCTGGCTTACAGAGACAGGCTTGTCTGGCTATCAGTGGTGCCATCAGTACCACATCATCAGCAGTTATGGAGATCCTTCTAGATCTACCTTCTCTCCAAATGTTTCTGGAAAGAGAGGCTAGATGAACTGCATACAGACTTGTGCACATTGCCAATTGCACGAATCAATTCAATGTAGAGTGCAACAGACTGTTGGTTGACATTGGAAGTCACAGCATTCTGGAAGTGACCTCTGACTTTATGCCTCCAACTGTCAACTACGAACTGCCTTATAAAGTACAATTCCCGAGTAGAGAGGACTGGATACTGCGGGAGAAGGAAATATTAAGAGCAGATAGTTGTTGGTTCATAGGTGGATCAAAAACACCTTTCAGTTCTGGTGCAGGTGTTTTCAGTCGCAGACCCAGGACAGAGTCATCTACCTGCCTGGGAACTTATGCGACTGTATTTCAAGCGGAAATTTACGCTATTGAATTGTGTGCGGAGAGATTGGATAAATCCAACTTCACTCACAAGTCAATAAAAATATTATCGGACGGTCAAGCGGCGTTGGAAGCTCTTGGCTCCTACCGAGCAACGTCTAAATTGGTAGCAAACTGCCAAAAAAGACTCTCCTCGATAGGAAGACTAAACAGATTGTCTCTGGTCTGAATTCCTGGCTATACTGACCTGGAAGGGAATGAAGTTGCTGACTCTCTTGCAAAGGAGGGTGTTGCAAGCGGCTTCATTGGACCAGAACATGTCATTGGCATCGCTTTGGGCTTTGCCAAACAAACACTGAACACCTGGATGGCAAGAAGAGTTATGAACTTCTGGCAGAATCTTCCAGGATTGGTTCACTCCAAGGCGTTTATTCACCTTTTGAAGCTTGATTCTTAACAGTTGTTGGACTACAGTAGAGATGAACTACGATGTCTAACAGGCCTTCTTACAGTTCACTGTCATTTGAATCATCACATGCAGAGACTTGGACTGTCGGAAGGCAGTGTGTGTCGCGTCTGTCTGGAAAATGATGAAACTGCAGAGGATATACTTTGTGCCTGCCTCGCTGGGGACCGAATCAGGTTCTGTGAGTTCGGCAGATCCGTACTCTCACTATTTGACCTGAAAGACCACTCACCATACAAACTAATCGGCTTCGTTAAGAAGCTGGGTTTATTTGGCCGAGTGTGAATAGGTATGAGCCACAATAAACCCTTATGGGTTGCGGTGGAGGGTCGAATAGACCCACTCACTTTAGACCTACCTACCTCGTCCCCCTAAAAAAAATTGTTGTGCTCTTTGAAATTTTAGATGACACGTCCGTTTCTGACTTACAGGGGGGTCAAGTTTTCGTTGGAACGCCCTGTATGATTATTTGAGATAGATAGGAATACAAAGCTCTTCAGCTTTCTTCTACTCTGAAAACAAAAATGGGGAAACATACGAATAAAAACAATCGAAATCAAAATGAACTCGTTTCAAAGTTCAAAATAAGTCTGAAGACGTATAAGAAAATGAATATTCATCTTTTCCAACTACCAACACTGTAGGTTCTGATAAATGTCTCCGGAAAACAACTACTTTCCCGGCTTATACCAAGCTGGATATTGAATTATATCCGATAGACATTTTTGCCAGATACTTCACAGAGGCTAGTCTCGCAGATGTTTCTCGTTCATTCAGCAGCAGAACCACATTGATATCAATCGAGTATATCGACTACAAGCAGTGCAGGAAAGATCCAACCAAAACAGCAGTGTGCCTGGGACTTGACTAACACGGCTCGACTGCATGTATGAAATCTTCGCCTGAGAATGATATATTGATTAGTAACAGCTCCATCTAGTGAACAAAGGCTAAAAAACGATATTCTTACAGAAATCGAAATAAGTCTGAAAACTGCATCGAGGAGATGAAAACGTATAAAAAAAAGAATATTTCGAAAGTGGGAAAGTAGTTGTTTACAAAGATGTTTATGTCACACATAGAAGTTACTTTCAGATGAAACTGGAAAGAAAAGCTTGTCCGAAATAACTACTTTCACATAGACATTGATTTACAGGAAAGTAAAAATACTTTTGAAACAACTACTCTAATATGACCATTGAATTATAAGAAAATCACTTTTTCCTATTCATTTCACTGATATATGGGTCACTATCATCCTCAATGGTGGACTTCGGAGTTTCTGAATAGAAATTTGCTCTCGATGACATATTTTAATGAGTAATGTTCCTATGAATGATATCTATTCAATTCCATTACAAATGTACAAACTGAATACGAAAAGGAAAAGAGTTACGATATAAAGTTCCACCTATATTCTCAATAGCGGACTTTGAAGTTTCAGAATCTGACACTTGTCCTATTAACTTAAATGAATTATTTCAACGATGTTATGGAATTGGCTAGTATTGAAGAGAACCCGTGATAATGTATTCTATCAACATTAGATTATGAAGTTTTCAGTAAACAGTTCACGAAACACGTGTTTCACTATACGAAAGCTTCTTCCGACTAATTCAATGAGTAGTGAACTTATTGAACAGGACTGAAAAGAGTGTAAAAATCTCACAATGAAGTGTTTTTTGAAAACGTTATTTCTACTACATTTTCGATCAAATTTGCCAGAGTTGGTTGTAAGAATATTGATCTTATTTTCAGAGGATCGTGAGAATCACCTCTTTAGACTTCAAAGTCTCGGCTTAGGATCTCCCCTAAGATGCGCGTGGTAGAAAACCCTTAAATACGATAGGAGCTCAGTGTTAACGAGAATCTTGTAGTGTCCACTTTGATGAAGTAAAGTACATCTATACTAAAACCAATAATGATTGAGAGTAGAAGAAAGCCCAGTTGACAGCAAATCGGGGGCGTGCTTATTAATTTTTGAGAGGGTTAAGAATGAAAGAAAAATTCTTAGTACAATTAGTTAAAATATTCATACACATTTTTTATTTATTTCATTAAAACTTTGCAATNACCAATGATACGCTCATGGCTGCAAGTACATTAGTGAGGACTGCAACGATGAGATGGAAGTTACGGTAAAGTGACAAAGACAGAAATATCGTTGCGTACAGCGTTGCCACTAGTTATAATAAATATCTAACACTTTACAGAAAATAATAAATTTTAACTGATCAGTAATCTGCTATAAACTGGTAACGTAAAATTTAGATATGACAATGCGCTTTACTCTCAATCATTATTGGTTTTACTATAGTCAAATCTAGGAAGAGACTTGAGAATTCTATCTCTCTCGCTCTCATAGTCTTCCAATGAAAGCACATCGAAATTGAAACGAAACGTTTTGTATAGTCAAGCAAGAGAAGTGATTGCTAATTTACTTTTTTTCATGCAATGAGAAGCTGATGATGGCATAAGCATGGGTCTGAAAAAAGTTCAAGAGCGTTGTGCAAAAGCAGGAGATGTAAGTTTGGGTAGCATTGAAAGAATAGCTCGTGAAATGAAAACAATGGAAAATGGTGAGTCATCCTCTTTTTCGATTTCGACAAGAGCCTTCTTCGTCGATATATAATCAATTATTACATTACTGGAAAAAACATTCCCACCTTACGCCGCAAACATATAAAATTCGTTGACGAAAATGGTTACAAGAGATCTTAAGAGTTTCTGTAAAGAAATTTTCTCAGAGACATAAAGAAATACTGTGAAGAAGGTCTAACAATGAATTATATGGATGAAACATATATCCATGCTTCACATACACATGAGAAGAGTTGGAATGATGATTTGATAGAAGGGTTGCTCACATCAATTTCAAAAAGGCAGAGACTCATAATTGTGAATGCAGGAGAAGAAAATGGATTTGTGAAAAAATCCATATGTAAAATTCAAATCCTACACAAAATCGGGCGACATCATAACGAAACGAATTGTCCCATACCACAATGTTCAGTAAAAAAAGTGCCCAAACATGTCCCCAAGGAAAGATGAGATGAGAGATTGGTTGAGACGACGAAACATTCATTTTACAGGTGATATGCTAAAAATTGAGTCCCATTCCATCATAAAAATCCATAAACCACGATTTAAGTTGTATGAAATTGATAGGATTATGGAATATCATGGACATACTGTACTCAGATTGCCTCCTTATTGTCCAGATTTGAACCCAATAGAATTAGTGTGGGCATCACTGAAACAATATGTGGCTGATAAAAATGTTGATTAATTTCAAATCCGTTGAAAGTTTATGTGACGAATTCTTCACTTCGTTTTCTGAAGAGCAGTGGAAAAAAACTTTGCGAACAACCTATACGTTTTGTAAAATGTCATGCTTCGGAGGAACTTGCTCTTGATTTCGCAATAGATGAAACTATGTTCAAGGTGATAGTGACAACGATAGAACCATCGCTCCAGAAGCGATTCCGATCTTCTGGAGTTGAACCTTTGTAATTTTTTGATCATAACTTTGATTATATTTTCGACTGAATCCATTCATCTTGATAAATATAATGTTTCCCAAGAAATTTTCATGTTGAAATTCATTCTTCAACCCAAATGAATTACATTGTCAGGATAAGTATTTTAACCTCTTCTTAATAAATCCGAAATCAAATGCAATACAGACTGCTAAACAACAAACTTTAAATTAAATTACATGAATACCGCATTATCATACTGAACCATCAATTAAAAAAACCATCAACCCTTATTGCTACTTGCGGTGAGGACTGTGCTCTCAGGCCACTCTAAAACCCAAATAGGCGCACCAAGTAGCACGGTAGATTCATCTTTTTTTATCCTAATGCGTTCTCTGTCAGAAGTCTACGCAAGTGGTGATATGTTACGAGTCGTTTCCTAGATTTGACAAGCTGTAGTTCATAATATTGATTATTTTTTGTTGATTAATTTGAGACAAAAATCTATGAATTTAAAAATTACATTCATAAACGATTTCTCACTTTACAATGCGGCAATACAAACCTTTTCAATGCGAAAGAAAAACCCTAGGTACTCTGGTTCAAGTTCACTGTTCACCTGGCGTCCCTTTTATGAGAAGTGTCGAAATGATAAATAACTCCTCATTTCGAGATTAAATTCATCAGCGACTTTTCTGTTTGATTTAGATACGGTGTACCTGTTTCTTTTTATCTTATCTCTGATTACCTGGTTAAACGATATTGTGTTATTGTAGAGCAGTTTAGGTGTGTTCGAAAGGTATGTGGAAGTATTTTACTATATTCTTTCAATTTATTACATTACGTTGTATGCATTTTATAAATATGAATGTTTTGTCATAACTTACGATCAGGTATTTTCAACATCATCTCCAAAAGTACTTTGAACCGATATTCCTGACAATAGAATTGCAACTTAAATCTAGTGTGTACCAATAATATTCACATGAGATGAGTCAGATCAAATCGTAGGACATACCTATAACTATGAATTGATAAATTCATCGAATACGTCATATCAATAGCGTTAAAAAAGAATATTCAAGAATTTTTGAAAATGTACAGTTTTCAGGATAATGTTTTATGGGATCCAACTAAAGAAACTTCTCATCAGTGAAATTTCTAACTGAAAACCAATTTCGTCCTGATTCAATAAATTCACAAATTTTTAAACGATAATTGTCTTTGGATACAAATAGCAAAAAGTTCCTAAATACAACAAAATTATTTCAAATATAACTATAATTTGGATCAAAATTTTCAGATCATTATTAAGCCTATCATTGTTTTAAGAAGTCCAATATAGTATTAGAAACAGGATAAAATGCCGTCATTTTGTATATGTGGTATTTTTTTTTTCTCTTCCAACATATTATGGATTCATATTTCGTATTAATGAGATATGCCAGTGGATTTTTGTCTCGAAGAATTCATTGTGTACGTAAATGAATAAATCCAAAATTGTTTTACTATTGACGATTTCTTTTAGAACCATGCCCTCTTAGTCATTATCTTATCGCAGGTAAACAAATATATTAGTGATTATTCACACTGTCTAAGTACAGTTTCAATAAAATTTTTCACTAGTGACAGTGATTATCTGCAAGAAACTATTACAGATGCGACTACGTGTGATTTTTGTTGCTGTTTTGGTACTGGCCTCTACAGTTCCAATCAACTGTCAAATGAGTGGGGTGAAGCTAAACCTCATGCCATGTTATAATGTATCAGCTCTACCTGGTATAACCATAGCCGACAACAGACCCCCAGCAACCTTGAATATTTTTCTGGAAGTGATTAGGAGACTAGAAGATGCCAATCCAACTAAATCTGCGAAAGAACTCGCAACTTTAATATTACAGAGGTAAGTGAGACATTTTGAAGTGTAAATAGATATAGAGGTAGATTATGACCCCGTTGTCGGGTCACGTAATTTCAGTTCCAATTGGTTCTTGAAAATGGCTTCAACGCAGAAGCCGAAACTTCGAACAGATGGAAACTACAACGTGTGATTCCGTGTTAGGAATCACACGTTAAAAGGTAAGACCTCGTTAGTCCTTAGCTCGCACAAGTTTCTCAGTTTCTGAGAGTTGTCGTTCGTATGGGAGCGATAGCTGATTAACGGAAAAACAGACAGACAAACAGAGTTCAACCTGAACTACAGTACAGTGCTTTTATCCTATATAGGATATATGATATGATATCGAAATAATACACCAGTAATGATTAAATAGCGTTCTGCAAGTTTTGAGAATTTTTTGAAAGTACAAATTTTCATAGGTCATAACATTTATATTAAATTTTCTCATCAACTGTGTCCTTTGACTTTTAAAATCCTGATCGGGTGGTCTAATTGAAACACTTTCTTTTGTAGTACTCTCGGGGTTTCCCAGACATATCAGACCAGTTCACAAGTTGAAATTCATTATATAGCTCTCAAAAATATGATTAATAGCACATTGGATTCAGAATGACCTGTAACAAAATATATTTCATAGATTGTACAGCACACAAACAACTTATCAAAGCGCCTGACTTTCGCTCTTCTCAGGTCGAGTGGGCTGAAGTCGGAAATTAAGGGGTTCATCATGGCCTGCCAAAATGGTGTCTTCGACACCTTAGTCTACTTTAGTCGCGTGATGGGTATAGAGGTTCCTGACACAAGATGTAGGGCCTGCCGCCAGGCGTCTGAGACCCTACTGCACTTGCTTTCAGCATGTTCAGCATATGCGGTCTCACCCTATATCCTTCGACATCCCGCGGTCCTAAGAATGCTCTATTACCACCTACGACACTTTCACGGTATTGACGAGACATCGCTGTTGGCCTACGCTCCGAGAGATATTGGATCCGTTGTGTGAAACAAGAAGTCTGTTTAAAAAATCTGTGTAAAAAATCTGTTTTTCCATTAATCAGCTGTCGCCCCCATACGAACAATAACTCTCAGAAGTTGAAAAACTTGTACGAGCTAAGTAATAACGAGGTCTTACCTTTTAACGTGTGATTCCTAACACGGAATGACACGTGCCAAATTTATTGAAACAAATCATTCCCTACCCTCAGGATTATACAGGGTAATAAGCCTGATCTAGTTCTACTCGATCACCAGAGCAAGACAATATTTGTCGTGGAGTTTGCAGCTCCTGGCGAGATGATCTTCTCTGCGGACTATATCCAGACCACTCTGTCAAGATGGTTGTTTTGATTATTGGAGTTCTTGGTAGAATGATGCCCTCTGTACCCTCAAATCTCAAAATCATGCCGGCTTGCCGCACTTAGGTAGAAATCTTAGCCGGACACATGCAGAAGTTTGTCATTCTTGGCCCACTGCGCTTACTCAGGGCACATAATTCTCGGACCCAATGATCGCTTGCCCCACGGTGTGGGGAGTCGTCGTTGGTTGATAATGTTGGCACGCCCTTCTGAAGGTATAGGGGTTTCGGGGAACAGGGCCTGACTAGCACAAACTGAGCCATAGCCAATACATATATGGATCAAATTTATCGAAAAAAAAAACATTAGGAGATTGGGAAAACGTGGTCCGTATATCTTAACATATGAAGTATGAAGTATTGTGTTGTAAATCTGTGAAAGGGGGCAGATGTGTATCCCAGAACGCTACCCAAAAGCATTCATTTTCATTTAAAACTTCAATGTTGAGGAAAAGTTGTAGTGAGAATTGTTACCGATTGGTAGGACAAGTGTACTCAACCCACTTTTATGAATATAGTTTATAACGTTTTTTACTGATAATAAGGAGTTATTTCGAAAAAAAGGAAATCTCAAAGTTTTTTTTGGAATATTTCGAAAATTACCGAGATGGAATTTTAACATCGTAATCTAACCATAGTGGTGGAAAAAAAGTTTTTTGGAGTGTACTGAGAAGACATTTATGTCGTCATAAATTACGGGAGGTATTGATTCAATTGTAGGTAAATACATACAAATACAAGCTAATAAATATGCCGAGTGCTGTTCTCTTGGAATATGGAAGTAAGACGATATACGTCCTTAATTTTGTCTAAAGAAATGAACTTTAAACGTTCAAGCCAGTCTCGAATATACCTACACCTGTTCCAAAATTGAAGGTCGACTCTTTCAGTTGTATTGCCAATTGCGTATGCAGGAAATTTTCTGTGAAGATTCCTGCACTGACGCCTGTCAGATATAATCCAACGCCCTTCGTGGTATTAGCCAGGGGAGTAGTTGTTTTCTGATAGGCGTCAGTCCATTCAACCTACTGTGTAGGTATATTCGAGACTGGCTTGAACGTTTAAAGTTCATTTCTTTAGATTTGTTTACTGCCAGTCTTCAAGCATAGACCACTGACTAATAAGAAAATTGGATTTTGTGATGAGTCAAAATTCATCCAAAAGGAAAAACAAGTGAAAAATCAGGTCTTACTAACGAATTCGGCGTTTTTTTCAAGACAAAACACAAGCACTACAGGAAACTCCTTGAGGCGCTCTAAGAGCCGTGCCTGTGCCCAAACCACTCTGTTCTGATAGGGTTCTGGTCATAGTAGTGGTTACTTTTCCACTTCCGTACCTCGAAACTTCATGAGTCGCCATGAAATGACTGAAATCTCAGTTGGACAGATATTCTTTGTAATTTGCTACAGATCAAAAACAATCAGAGTAGAGTGGTCACTGGTTGATGGTTCTGTGTCACTTTCCAGCAAATCAATTCAGGAAATAATTTTCCTAATTTTTTCTTTATTTGTATGTATTTTCCAACATTTCATTCATGTTAACAAGATGATGAAAAATTCGATTCCATATCACAATATTCAAATATGAGTAGTAACTAGCTGATTATTTTATTTTAGACTTCGGCAGGATGGAATCATTTCAACTGGAAGATCAACTGATATACGATGGGCCTTACCGTTTAGTCCTTCCAATTATGAATCAGTTAAACAAACTATTTTCACAGAAAAGTTCATTACCAATTCATCGCTTGAATTATTATACGGAGATCTCGATCCTGTGGAAATTGTGAGTATTGATAATCACCATCACATCATAACATAATATTTCATCAATGGAGTTGTGGCATTGACTCAATTAATTATTCTCTCTACATATTCAGGGCTTTTACTCCTATTATAATTGATAAATAATTTATTGAGAAAATAGCATTTCAATATCCCATTTTGCGAAGTAATTGGCTTGCCTTTATACATTTTACAATCAGGTAGAGTTGTTGAATAAATTTCTCCAAGTATTTCGAAAAATTAGCATCCTTCGAAAAATGTCCGGAATGAAAAGCAAATATTTTGAGAGAGCTCCTCACACTTGCTTACAATAGACTGCCGCTATTAACATTTTTGGGAAGCAGAATATAATGACGATTTGACTATTCAAATCAGCCCCCATACGAACGACAACTCTCAGAAGTTGAGAAACTTGTACGAGCTAAGGACTAACGAGGTCTTACCTTTTAACGTGTGATTCCTAACACGGAATCAACAAATAAGATGAAAATAATGCCGTTGATCTCTATTCCCCTCGATGCATGTACGATTCCACATATCCAAGGAAGCAACTAAAAGTAGTTCCTTCTTATTTTTATGCATATCCAGCTCTTTCCGTGACTGAGCATGAATCCTCAATAATGCCAACAGAAAACCTGACCTTATCGACGGTTTTCAGTATACATTTTGATAAGCTTGAAGCTTTCACTGGTCCAGTAAATTCTTTGTATTGTAAATATCCTCTTTAGTAGGCTAAATCTATCTATTTTTTATCTCACCAACTGTAACTATGCTGACTTCCTTGCAAAGGATGGTGCTGCAAGCAGCTTCATCGGACCAGAAGATTTATGGCCTTCTGGCAGGTTCTTACAGGATTGGCTTACTCCAGGGCGTTTATTCACCCTTCGAAATTTGATACCAAACAGTTGTTGGACTACAGCAGGGATGAACTACGATATCTAACAGGCCTTCTTACAGGTCCCTGTCATTTGAATCATCATATGCAGAGACTCGGACTGTCTGAATACAGTGTGTGTCGCCTCTGTTTGGAAAATGATGAAACAGCAGAGCACATACTTTGTGCCTGCCCCGCTGGGGGCCGAATCCGGTTTTTAGAGTTCGACAGAGACATACTCTTACCATCGGACCTGAAAGACCACTTACCATACAAAATGATCGGCTCCATTGAGAAGCTGGGTTTGTTTGGTCGACTGTCAATAGGTGTGAGCCACAATAGACCCTTGCAGGTTACGGTGGAGGGTCGAAAAGACCCTTGCAGGTTACGGTGGAGGGTCGAATAGACCCACTCACTTTGGACCTAACCCAACCGTAACTAGTAAAAATATGATGAGGTTTAAAAAGTGCTGGCATATTCAGTTCACCAAAATGGAATGTTAGGAATCACACATTAAAAGGTAAGGCTCGCACAAGTTTCGATTTCTGAGGGTTGTAGTTGGTAGGGGTGCGACAGCTGGTTAACGGAAAACACATATTTCAAACAGATTTTTCAAACAGATCTCAAAAACATTAAAATACGTTTGAATTATTACCATTCCTGTTTTCTCAATTACAGTGTTCCTTCCATTATATGATATCAAGCACCACCAATATCACCAAAAGGGGAGACGAAGCTTCGACTTGTTCCAGATCCGCTAGATATACATCAAGAATGAGAAGAGATGTACAAAAATCCGAATTTGCAGCCGAAGTAATGGAAGATTTCCAACCCCGAGCTTTCGTTGCGGATTCAGAGAAAAGCCAATGTCCTATCGAAAATGGCGTCGTTTATACAAACTATGGAACTGTCAAGGTCGGCCAAGTTCTGAATGGAATTGCTACCGGATTTGCACAACAAAACTATGGTGAATGCGACAACCGATATGCGACGACGGTTTCTGGTAATACATTTCTTCAATTTTTCATCAAAGTAACTCCTAATTGAAAACTAGCAGAATATGGCAAATGCCTACCTAAAAATAACTAAATTCCTTGGTGATACCACGTCAAATAGTTAGTTTGACGTGGTATCACCACGTCACGTTTTTTGAGTAAGTTGTCTCACAAGTATCATTGTTGCAATTTCTTCTCGTTAGAAATATCAAAAATACGTTACTACGTGGTAGGAAATCATAATGAAAAAAAGCGAATTGAAACTTTGTTTTTACCACTTTCATTTGTAACTAACATGTTTCTTCCTATGCAGTTTCTTCCTATAAGAACATTTCCAAACTTATACATGTATAAGTTTATCTTATCAATTCCCTTTTCTTCAGTAATCAGACATTCCATCTTAACAATCAGTACGAAATCGGGTGTTTCGCTAAGTTACTATTTTCCACATTAATGGGTAATATTGTTAAATTTTTCAATAAGCTAGAATACAAGTTATGACATCAAAATATATAAAGTGATGACTGAATGTATTACTATACAAAATCAATTACGGCTAGTCAGTCATCTAAAATCCATATTAGTATGAATAGAGTGAATAGAAATTGTTGTGTCATTTAAAAATAGATATGTGAATATAAGAATCTCAAGAAAAATTTCAAGTACCAAGTACCAACTATTTTTTTTTTCATTCTTGAGGATTGTTTCTTCAGCAGAGATTGCATTGACCTTTTTTTTCAATAAATTGGGTGATATTTGTCATACTATTCTACAATCAAGCTGTGACAAAAATGAATCATTTGTAGTGAAAAGTTGTTCGATTCTGACATATTTAACAATAGTTACGGACATGAGTTAAACGATCAGATGCATATTTTGGATCCTAATGTTTGATTTATGGAAAGGAAATTCATCAAAGTCAAATGGGTTGAGATATGTTCTTTGAAAGGAAAATTATAATGAAAATCAAATGTACACATTAATTAAACTAATGCTGCTACGAAATTAGTACAATATTGAATTTGCTCTGACAATAAATGAAAAAATACTGAAATACTGTGAAACCTCATGTTAGAATTTTTCCTTGGATTCGAAGATTATTGGTAGTTAACTTAGTGGAATCGAAATGAAACCAACCTGATATTCATTAACACAAACATTATCTATATAATTTCAATGAAATAATAAATTTGAGCGAAATGACTTCTCATAAAATAATGTTTTTGTTTTACTCTATAAAATCTTGTTTCTAACCAGAAATCCAATTAATGGTCCAGTTTCATCATTCTCCTGGGGCATTATACATGCATTTCGATCAGGGATCAATTCTGGGGGCTGTTTCATTTGTGTGGTGCAAAGACAATCTTGAGAAAAATTCAAAAGATATTTTCTTAATGACACAAAATTTAAGAACGGTTACTGGTGTGAAAGATTGCTGTTTCTTGGTGAACATATCAATTGGAAGTCACTGCGTTTACATGATACATTCAAGTAGTACTTCATAGTGAGATTATAAAACCGCAATATGCCATTCATCACATACTCCATGCTATTCGTTAATAAATCTCAAACAAGCCTTTTAGAAGCCTCAACTATTATTCTTGAATGACTCTCAAGTAGCATCTCGAATGGTATACAAGAAATGCTTGTATGTTAATAATACGTCAATCACTGACATATTTTTTTGAATAACAGAATAGTAGCCGGTGTCGCCTTCACTAGCCTACTTAAGTAGAGGCTTGTTTATGAAATCATGTAATGGCACTATATTCTATGTACATTATATGTACATTGACTTCATTGAAAAATGTATTTGGCCGAAATAAGAATCTGCAAAATGTAAATGATAACTCTAGAAATGAATGATTGCTAATCTGTTTCGTGAATATATAAAATATTTGCAGCAGCAGCAGATATATGAGTAGATGAGTTATAACTCATCTGCTCATTTTGGGTGGTGGAAAGTCATCTTGGTTTTGATCAGGTTGGAGCCTGGCTCCCTTACCCTTTCAACTGGTGTTTGTCAGAGGGACAAATGGGTCATAACTGATGGTGGCATGACGACATTAATGTTCTCAGACATCAGTAACGCCCTTCTTGGTGTATCCCTACCTGGCTGGGGTGAAATGGGCAATCAAAAACTCGCTGATTCCTCGACTGAATAGACTACCGGATGGAAGGTAGCTGCAAATCTCTCCAGATGGCTTCATTCCGCACGAACCACGGAGCATTCATAATCATCCGTATTATTTTGCAATCTCTTCAGAATGGAGATATTAGATGGGGCTGCTTGTCCCCAGACGCCTAAAGCATACATGATGACAGGCTTGAACATAGTGTTATAGATGGTAATTTTGTTTTTGAGGCTCATTTTGTATCTTCTGTTGATCAGAGGGTGCAGACTAGCTATCCGGCTCTCGATCCTTGATTTAACGGATAGAATGTGCGGGTTCCAAGTGAGCCTGCGGTCTATTAGAAAGCCGAGGTACTTTACCCGCGCTTGCCAGTTGATCTTCCTTTCAGAGAACCTCACTTTCCTAGCCTGAGAAGATATTTTTCTTCTCATGGTTATCGCCTGAGTTTTTCCTGGATTCACTCGGATTTTCCACTCGAGGTACCAACGCTCGAGGTCGTCCAATGCACGTGGCATGCAGACGAGTCCGAGCTCCCGACCCATGGAAGCTGAGAGGAGAGGCATGTCATCGGCTGCTCATTTGGATCTGATGAATTACAATGAAACTAAAATTTTTAACAAAACACCGAGAAAAATTCTCAATTGAAAATATTTACATTCAGTACATTATCGGTACTGCTTCTATTTTATACTATTTCAATATTTTTGTACTTGTGTTTCATTTCTGTACTTGTTCTTTCGCCTTGTGTAAATGAATATAACCATGAAGTAAACAAACATCGTATGTTATAGGAGAAATCGTTGAAGCTGCATTCGTCCAAGGTACTGAAAACATCAAAATTGGTGCACCTGGAGGTTGGAATAGTACAATAAATCCCAAATACTATTTTTTGCAAAAAAAGGATAAACTCGATGTCACCGATGCAGAAATTAGAGGATCAATAGATGGACTTTACATGGCCCTGAAAATGGATAAGTGGAAATCGACATTTTCTGATTTGAAGATATCACAAATTATCGACCTATACTATTCTCCTCAACAGAAAGGAGTGTTCGATCCCAGTTTCAAGGCATGTAACAGAAATATATTTTTCAGTGAAATGGCATCAACAGATAAACTGCGTACTGAAACATTGAATTTGATGGCTCCATTGAGTGGTGCTGGATATCGAATAACTGTTAAACCTGATTTCTATCCAGACTTAGCCAATGCATCATTGCAAGCATTCCTCAACTATATACGTGAGTGAATTATTTAAAATTATGACTGACTTTATTTTATTTTGTGTTTTTCAGCTCAACTGAGTAGTGATCTAACGTGTATACCGAAGGGTAATATTGAGAGAGTTGCAACTGATTTGTTTATTTTCATAGATGCTAGTTGGAACTACAACATTATTAAATCAGTTCTGTCGTGAGTATTTAAATAATATAAATAACCAGTCTGTTACTACGTGGTAGATCATCAATGAAAAATGGAAAATAAAACTTTCTGTTTTTTACCACTTGTATTTGTAACTGATGTTACTGCAGTTTCGTCCTATAAGGACATTTTCAGACTTACACAATAAACTGAAAATAATTGATATTGTAAGCCCTTATAATATCAATTTGGAAACTGAGAGGTTCATCATGGCCTGCCAGGATGGTGTCTTCAAACTTTAGTCTACCGCAGTCGCGTGATGGACATAGAGGTTTCTGTTACCAAGTGCAGGGTCTGCGGCGAGGCGTTCGAAACCCTAATGCACTTGCTGTCACATGTATAGTCGAAGTAACCGGTATTGTGCATACTTAAAGTGTCGGCGTTCTCAAAGGCCAAAAAAACCAACACAGAGAAATAAAGCCGTTGCCAACTATTCCACGTGGACTGAAGAATTGGCGGTTCTTATTGGATGATTTTTACTAACCGAGTTTTATGATTGGCTGAAGAGTCATAAAATTTAATTCGAAGTCTTATTAGGTGACGAATAGAATGCGGGCCGTCGTATTGTCAATTTTCAGTTCAGGAACTGATCACGATTTGAGTGTTGAAATTCGATATTGGTGCAGTTATAATTACTCAAAATTGTTGTTATCTGTTTGAAATGTGTCATCCTTGGACAAGTATTAATAGTAATAACGAGTGTGATAACAACGCAGACTTTTTCCTGTGTAGTGATTCCAAAAGCGATGGTGAACAATGCGAAAAAAAAAACAAGTGAATATGGTTCGGATGCATTTGAATATTGAAACACTGAGAGTATGTTTCAATGTATATAAGAATCTACAACTCAAGTTTGGTTTCGAGGGAAACAAACTATTACAAGCAACATCAGATTTGACCGAAATTCCTTTCTCAACTGTACGTGAAATAGTCAAAAACAAAATAACGAAATCAGTTAGCTCTCCAACTATATCATTAAAGAGGAGCTGTTGGAAGGTAGGTTGCACTATATCGTTTACTTGAACTATACTGAAAGACGATGATGATATGAAAAGCTACAATTTTCATTGCGATGTTAGGAATTTCATCGTGGGAAAGTCAAGCAATTTTATGATAAATTAGGGCTAGATTATAGTATTTTAGTGGTTTTTGTAACATTTTCAAATCACTTCATTTTACTATCACTAACTCATCTCAATATTTCGGACCCAGTGCCGGCTTTAAGGAGGGCACCCGGGCGATAGTTAAGGCCGATCCATAATTCAATTCAACTATTCGATTCATGTTTTATCTTGAATACGTCAACAATTTTAGATAAAGAGAGTCGTAGTCTTCAACCATTCAACTTTTCATGTTGAAATATATCTTTTTGTCAAATAAAAATATTTTCACAATGGAAACAGTCCGAATTATGTTTTATACGAATGCCAGGCACCACCTACAGTGGTGTTTAGATGTACGAGGGCTAACCGTATCAATTATTTTCAGTTTATTATGTCCTTAAAGGATGAAACTGCAGTAACATTAATTACAAATACAAGAGGTTAAAAAAACCCAGAAAGTTTTATTTCTCATTTTTCATCTGAATATCTAAATAGCTTGACACTGTGAGTTATACCTGAGACTGCATATAGACTTTTGGACATCGCCAATTGCACAAAGCAATCTAATGCGGAGTACTCTAGACTGCTGGCTGACATTGGAAGTCACAGCATTCTGGGAATGACCTCTGACATTATCCCTCCAACTGTCAACTACGAACTGCCTTATACAGTAATTTTCACGAGTAGAGAGGATTGGATCGTCCTGGAGCAGATAGTTGTTGGTACACAGATGGATCAAAAACACCTTCGGGCTCTGGTGCAGGTGTTTTCAGTTGCAAACCCAGGACAGAGATATTAACCTGCCTAGCGGAATCTATACTATTGAATTGTGTGCGGAGAGATTGGTAGAATCCAACCTCACACACAAGTCAATGAAAATTTTCTCGGACAGTAAGCTGCTTAGCAAATTGCCAAAAACGACTCTCCACAATAAGAAAACTTAAGAAATTGCCTCTGGTCTGGATTCCTGGCAACACTGACCTGGAAGCCAATGAGGCTGCTAACTTTCTTGCAAAGGAGGGTGCTGCAGGTAACTTCATCGGACCAGAACCTGTCATTGGCATTGCTTCAGGTTTTGCTGAACAAACATTGAACACCTGGATAACAAGAAGATTCAAAATTTTCCAGGAGTGGCTCACTCCAAAGCGTTTATTAACCCTTCGAATTTTGAAACCAAACAGTTGTTGGAATACAGTAGGGATGAACTACGATGTCTATCTCACCTTTTCACAGGTGGCTGTCGTCTGAATCATCATATGCAGAGACTCGGACTGTCGGAAGGCAGTGTGTGTCCCCTCTGTTTGGAAATTGATGAAACAGCAGAACATATACTTTGTGCTTGCCTCGCTTCCACTATGTGACCTGAAAGATCACTCACCATATAAACTAATCGGCTCCGTTAGGAAGCTGGGTTTATTTGGTCGAGTGTGAATAGGTGTGAGCCACAATAAAGCTTTGCGGGTTGCAGTAGAGGGTCGAATAGACCCACTCACTTTTGACCTAACCTAACCTATACCTGAGAGTCTGAAAGGTTTATTCGAATGACTGACACGTTTCTTGATGTGTGTTGAAGGTTCGGACTTACATTGTCCCAAAATGTCGACAGATTTGAAACCTAACTGTGAAAAAATTAATATATTCGATAATTTTCTCAATGCTATGTGGTACAGTTATGTTTATTATTAATTAGAGATATTTTTTATTGCTCTTATGACTTTGAAAAATGCTTTTTGGTTATGAGCAATAGGTATGTTTTTTCACTTATGGCAAATGATCGATCATTAATAGATGAGTGTGGCGGTGTTTTGATACAAGTCCCTCAGTTATTCTCTGATCAAATTAATTTTTGAGACAATTGTTTGTCAAAAAGCATTCATTAGGTATCGAAACGAAGATATTCACCCAAAATTCTTTCAGATATGTCCTGGATAATATTGATGTCAATAAGTTTGGCACTCGATATACAGTTTTTGGAGCATTTGATGGCATCAATATTACGAGCAACAGTACAAGGTACCTTTTAGACTTCCAGAAACAATATAATCTCACCATTCATCAGACAAGTATGTATATATCAAACAGTTTATGTTAAACTCAACATCATTTAATGAAAGTACCAATTATTTCTGAATCATTCAGTAACTCTATTCATAACAAACTGCCATACGGGCCAGTTTTTCGTAGTTGGTCCCCTGTAGAGTAGAAAAGTAAGGAAATTTCATTTCAGTAAGACCAAACTTCGATTACTCCAAAGTATATGAAGTGATGGAATCAATTGCTAAATCCAAACTGAACAATAAAACGTATAGTGGTGGAGAATCGACCATTGCCCTGTTAATTCCTAGAACTATACCAGATGCGGGTCAAAGAATATTTTTGGAGCAAAGGAAAGAAATCATCAAGCGGTATATGCCAGGTACGTGCATTTTCAACTTCGATTTACGGTGTTTAAATAGGTTATTACTCAATCTCAACTGAATCTGGGGATGTTTACATCCTCTTTCCTATTTTCGATTTTTACTGAATAGAAAAAAAAAACATTGAATACTAATTCTTAGTTTCTGTTTGATTTTTTCACTTCAGTCTTGAATGTTTGTTTTTCGTTATGATTTTTTGGCCTTTGTCTCTCTTAGAGAAGAAGGAGTTTCTACCATTTTGAAAATGAAATAAACATTTTTTGAGCAACTAGAACAATGGATAATGATAATAATATAATTAACTCCTCTAAAATATGTGGTTCAACGTGATATATTTGAATAAAATGAAACTAGGTGAGACAAAATCGAAATCAAAATTAATTTCATCTGAGTTTGAATCTATCCATGATAATAAAACNCTACGATGTCTATCTCACCTTTTCACAGGTGGCTGTCGTCTGAATCATCATATGCAGAGACTCGGACTGTCGGAAGGCAGTGTGTGTCCCCTCTGTTTGGAAATTGATGAAACAGCAGAACATATACTTTGTGCTTGCCTCGCTTCCACTATGTGACCTGAAAGATCACTCACCATATAAACTAATCGGCTCCGTTAGGAAGCTGGGTTTATTTGGTCGAGTGTGAATAGGTGTGAGCCACAATAAAGCTTTGCGGGTTGCAGTAGAGGGTCGAATAGACCCACTCACTTTTGACCTAACCTAACCTATACCTGAGAGTCTGAAAGGTTTATTCGAATGACTGACACGTTTCTTGATGTGTGTTGAAGGTTCGGACTTACATTGTCCCAAAATGTCGACAGATTTGAAACCTAACTGTGAAAAAATTAATATATTCGATAATTTTCTCAATGCTATGTGGTACAGTTATGTTTATTATTAATTAGAGATATTTTTTATTGCTCTTATGACTTTGAAAAATGCTTTTTGGTTATGAGCAATAGGTATGTTTTTTCACTTATGGCAAATGATCGATCATTAATAGATGAGTGTGGCGGTGTTTTGATACAAGTCCCTCAGTTATTCTCTGATCAAATTAATTTTTGAGACAATTGTTTGTCAAAAAGCATTCATTAGGTATCGAAACGAAGATATTCACCCAAAATTCTTTCAGATATGTCCTGGATAATATTGATGTCAATAAGTTTGGCACTCGATATACAGTTTTTGGAGCATTTGATGGCATCAATATTACGAGCAACAGTACAAGGTACCTTTTAGACTTCCAGAAACAATATAATCTCACCATTCATCAGACAAGTATGTATATATCAAACAGTTTATGTTAAACTCAACATCATTTAATGAAAGTACCAATTATTTCTGAATCATTCAGTAACTCTATTCATAACAAACTGCCATACGGGCCAGTTTTTCGTAGTTGGTCCCCTGTAGAGTAGAAAAGTAAGGAAATTTCATTTCAGTAAGACCAAACTTCGATTACTCCAAAGTATATGAAGTGATGGAATCAATTGCTAAATCCAAACTGAACAATAAAACGTATAGTGGTGGAGAATCGACCATTGCCCTGTTAATTCCTAGAACTATACCAGATGCGGGTCAAAGAATATTTTTGGAGCAAAGGAAAGAAATCATCAAGCGGTATATGCCAGGTACGTGCATTTTCAACTTCGATTTACGGTGTTTAAATAGGTTATTACTCAATCTCAACTGAATCTGGGGATGTTTACATCCTCTTTCCTATTTTCGATTTTTACTGAATAGAAAAAAAAAACATTGAATACTAATTCTTAGTTTCTGTTTGATTTTTTCACTTCAGTCTTGAATGTTTGTTTTTCGTTATGATTTTTTGGCCTTTGTCTCTCTTAGAGAAGAAGATTTGGTGATATTCTAATTGATTCTTCTAATTTATTAAACATTTTTGGTCCAAGATAAAGAAAACTTTTCTGATAAAGAGTTGTTCTATGAATATTGGGCATCAGTTTGCCTCTAGAACGAGTTCAATAATTATGTTGCTGGAAAGGTGTATTATGCTTGTTTCTATAAACGTGTTTTGTTTGTGATACACTGTTTTGGAACCTTTGGTGTAGAATATTACTGGAGTTTTTACCCAACACCAAACCGTTATTTCAACACCTCGACACGTGTTTCGATCACCATGATAATCTTCAAGAGGAAGATTGAACTGATTGAACAGTTAACAGAAGATTAAACTGATTAAACAGTTTATTTTTCCTCTTGAAGATGATCATTTGGTGATCGAAACACTTGTTGAGGTGTTGAAATAACGGTTTGGTGTTGGGTAAAACTCCAGTAACATTCATGGATTGTTTCATACATTTTCATCAAGTAAAGGGTCAGTGTATTGATAATTCAACTTATATCTATAATTATGAATTGATCGACCCGTTACTTGAAAGTTTGTAACACTATCATTGATAATAATTACACAATTTCCACAAATATTTTTATCTAACAGCTTCCTCGGTAAAAATGGGAAGCTACGATGTTAGCGAAACGCGTGTAAAAATAGTTTGTAGTTCTCGACACGATTTTCAAGAGGTTTTCCCTGGTATTCAGGGTGTTTCCTACGAAACTTCAGAGGGTGACTCATTGAGTTGTTTCAAGAAAAAACGTTTCTATGAACATATGTCCGGAGTTGCTTCGTTTTTGAAATATAGGGCGTTGAATTTTTAAAGAACCCGGTATCTATTCATAAAATATCATAAATATCATTACACCGATTTGGTTGGAAATTGCTACAGTTATTTGAGGTGTCGTCTAGCTTGAGTTCGATTGAAATTATTTGGTCCAGTGGCGTCCCAGTGGACACACAGTTAACAGTATTGGGAAAACAAAGGACGTCACTGACCTTTTTTGTAGTTTTTCACTTTTTTTAGCAAGTAAAAAATTAATAATCAACAATTCCGACCTTAAAGTGAATGAGCAAAATGTCCACCTTCTGATGAAATACACGACTCCATTCGATTTGTCATTGATTGTCTGACACGTTCAAAAATACCTGGATTATTCCTTATGACGATGCAATTGTCAATTGTTTGATTCCTCAAGTTATTTCTAACAAAATGGGTAAATGAACCCGCAAAAAGTCCGTGTAGAATTCAACTGTTAATGTTGCTGGTGGAAAAATGGGTCAATTAGGTAGTTACCTGGTGGAGTCGATGATTAGATACTGCATCTTAGTATGGGGTGGCTTATTCAAAACATCACTACATAATCTTGATGTTATACAAAATACATTGATCAAAATCGCATTGAAAAAGGATAGGAGATATTCTACAGAGTTACTTTATGAACAAAGTGGTTTGTTCAAAGTCAGAAAATTATACGCTCATCAATGTTTATTATGGATTTGTAGAGAGCTGGAGTCCCGGCGCGAACATAAACCATATGTTGCTTCTTACAAGTACCGGTACTTCTTCTAACGAAGTGGGTAAATGATCTCGCGAAAGTTCGTGTAGAATTTACCTGTTAATTTTGCTGGTACAAAAAATGGGCCAATTAGGTATTCACCAATCATTCCTGAACTAACGTTCGGCGAAAATTTCTGCTGAAAATGACTTTCAGCAATATTCGGTAAAAACTTATTATTCTGTGCCATTGTATGAATCGACCACCTGCAAAACATCAATTTCGTGTGAAAATTCCGAGGCAGTAGAGCTTGGGGCCGCTGTATGTGATATGGGTATTTGAGATTTCTTTTTAGAACTGTCCATACGGTTTTTGGGCTGACTTTAAGCTGCAGCGCAATTTTCCTGGTAGTATTTGAAGGATCTTCTTCTATCGCATCAAGTATAGCTTCTTCTAGTTCAGGCTTTGTTGCAGTTTTTGGTCTTCCACCACCTACATTTTTATTAAAACTCCCAGTTTCACATAATCTTGCATGTAGCGTTTTAAATATTTCAGCACATGGAAATACTCTGTAAACATATCTGTCCTGCTAAATTCTCCGTGCTTCTTCCGCATTTCCTTTTGCTAATCCACAAATAAAGTTTATTTCAGCCATTTTAGCGTTAGTAAAAACATTCATGATGGAATCACTGCTAATTGACAACTCTGACTTTCACTTATATGACAACACTATCACCGTCAGCTGGTCTCGAAAGCAGGTATTCATGATATGCAAAGTGGCTTCAATTTTTTTTCTTGAAAACGAAGCTAGATATAAAGAGAAGACAAGAAACGAAAAAGTTGTATTATTAGTTGATCAATCTAAAGGAGAAACTACAACAAGTCAGTAGCGTACTTTTTTCCAAATATTGTTGGCTGAGACTCCACTGGATCTAATAATTTCAATCTAGTTCGGGCTAAATAAGCGCATTATTACTCCAAATAACTCTTGCAAATTTCAACCAAATCGGTGCCAGAATTTTATATTTCATGAATACTTTTTTTTAACTTGAACGTTCTGTATCTCAGAAACGAATCAACTCCGGACATATGTTCATAAGAACTTTTTTATCTTGAAACGAATCACCCTCTGAAGTTTCATACCGTAGTTAGGTAACACCCTGTATACAAGTATGAAATGATCTTCAGAAAGAAAGAGAAGTAGAATTTTTGGTGAACTGATAAAATCAATAAGCAATAATTGAAAATATCTTGACAGATCCTAAACAAACCGTGGTGGTCTGGTTAATTCGTGTACACAGTACATAGACTTGATTCTGACTGAACAGAAACACAGCTTTTGGACTAATCTATTTTTGATTTGATAAAGGAAATAAAATTCAACGGATTTACATCATTTATAACATGCATAATTTGAAACTGTCAAATTATTCAACAGAATAAACAATTTTATCTTTATAATATGTGCATTTCGAAATAATGAGTACACCATTTTTACTTTTTTAGATTTAACAGTATTAGTACTGGGAGCTGGAACCCAAGGAGACTACTCATCAGTGGTCTTCAACCCTAAAGACTTCAATTTGATGACTGAAACAACAAATGAAAATGATCTCAAGAGATTGGGCCAAAGTATAGTTGACAGAATAAAAAATGGTAAGAAATATAATTAGTCAAACAATTTACGCGCCAAAATGTACTCGTATTCAATGTTTCAACGCAAATAGAGTCAAAGTTTTCAATTGGATTTTTTTAAAGGCAGCTTTTTTCCATTCATAACATTGATTTTTCATATTTAGTTTCAGAGAGAAAGGCCTATTTTCATTTCGTTAATGAACTGAAACTTTCAAATCTATCATCCATATTAGACAATTCAGAAGCTTCCAAAAAATGCTTAATGCTTTAACATCTTCTAAAAGTACCAATTATGTCACATTATACTTTGTGATTTTAATTTTCATTCTCAAGGGCATGGTTATACCCAACAGTTATAAAAGAAAATAAATGCTTAGTCACTGATGATTTTCTATTATGAAATGTATTTCCTAACAAATAATTTTCATTTCAAGTTTTGTAACACTCCACTGGTAGTCGACTAAAAGCCAAATTGTCATGCGAGAAAATGTTGTTCTTCAATGCATATTTATTCCTGTAACTTTGATGAAGTGAAGTGAATTTATTATATATCCCACATTATCCAAGACAAAAAGCGGTTAATGAAAACAAAAGTGTTTTGGTACAAATGTTCATTTTTTGATTAATTGAATTGCAAAAACGAGGTCGTTAAAAAATAAAGTACATTTTCATTTTTCTCAAAAAATATTTATATATTCATCAATTTCTATTTTGTCCCTTCAAATTAGTCCCCCTCAAATATGATACACTTTTGCCAGCGTTTTTTCTAACCCTTGAAGCAGTTCTGAAATGCATTTTCTGATATGTCCTTGATCTCTGTCCACGATTCGGTTTTCAACTCCTCAATCGTCGCAAAACGCCGCCCCTTCAATGTTTGGAACAGGAAAAAGTCGCAGGTAGCTAAATCTGGTGAATACGGTGGCTGAGGCATGATTACGGTGTTGTTTTTAACCAAAACATCATGAACAAGCAATGACGAGTGTGCATATGCATTATCGAGATGCAAAAGCCATTAATTATTTTTCCATAATACTGGACGTTTTCTTTGTATTGCTTCCCGCGAACGGCACATAACTTCGAGATAATACTCCTTATTGACCGTACGACCATGTAGAAAGAACTCCTGATGTACCACGCCACTCTTATCGAAGGCAGCTGTAACATTTGATCGAACTTGGCGTTCTTTTTTTGGTCTTGGCTCTTCTGGGCTCTTCCATCGGGACGCTTGGTTTTTGGTTTAGATGTCATAACAATATACCCATGATTCGTCACCAGTTATGACCCTTTTGGGCAAATTTGGATAGCCGTTGACGTCATTCAACAATTCCTGGGCGATGCCCATACGACGGTGTTTTTGGTCAAAATTCAGCAATTTTGGAATGAACTTCGCTGCCACAGGCTTCATGCACAAAATTTTTGAAGAATTTACATGAATGAGCCATACGTTAAGTCAACATCCTCAACAATTTCTCCAATAAACATTTTTCTGACTCAGAGTACAATCATCGTATGCCACTGTCAATATTCCAAGTGTTTTGCACACAAAATTTGATGCAAATTTTTTGATCCATTTTTTTCGATAGCAGAAAATCTCCAAAAACGCAAAACATTTGTAACCTTTGTACCTCTCAGCAACAAATCAAAAATGCTAAACAGCTGAAACTGGAAACATATGTTTGAGACGAATGTACCAATAAAATAATAATCGAATGTACGTAGGGCTAAATTTGAACAATCACCTTATTTTTGAATAGACATCGTATGTGCGATTTTGAAGCAATATTTTATTGGATTGATGGCAAAAAATCAATTTGTGGATTAGGTGCTGATAGTCTAGTTCAAATTCGTTTCAAATAGACATAGATTCAGACTGATGTGTGAAAAATATATTTCAATGATTTCACAACATAAAAAAATTGCAGATGTTATCAACAAACATTGATTGTTGTCAACAAACATTAACATTGATTATCCTTCAGAAATTATTAGCAAAATGAAAGTAGATGATGAACTAAACCATCGTCCCATAAATACGAATCCGCATTCCATTTTCTTAGAGCCTTTTATACCAGAGGAATTACTTTTTTGCTAAGCAACAAAATCAAAAACAAATACTCATCTGGCCCAAATGAAGTTCCGTTATTTCTCATCTCATCTCTTCCCTTCATTATAATGCCACTCACCTTCCTTGTCAACCTGCCATTTCTAACTGGATCATCTCCGGAAATATTGAAAGTCGGCAAAGTTGTCCCAATTTTTAAAAAGCAGGATCCCGAAAAACTGAAAAACTATAGGCCAATTACGTCCGGGTCTACCACTACTACCTTTGATTCTGAGCGTTTGGACGTCACGGTGGGTATACCACTCGGATCTGGTCTAGGTCCGATATTATTCCTTCTTTATATATATATGAAATCGATAACTTCATCACAGATTCATTTATAACGATGTACGCTGATGAAATATCCTTGGTGGTGTCCAGTAATGTGGATCATCTTCTGTTTGAGAAGTGTGAAATTACTCTGAAGTCAGTTGTGAATTGGTGCGCAAACAATTCATTGTACCTCAATGCTGAAAAAACTCAGTTGGTGAGATTCCACAATTGTCAAAGACAGTGTGAAAAAGTACAAATTCAAATAAATGATCAAACACTCAACAGTTCGGATGATACAGCATTTCTGGAGATAACCATGGATGCATGTCTGACTTAGAGAAAACACTGCACCCTCGTGATGAACAAATTGAATTCATTGTGTTACGTTTTCAGAAACCTCAGAAACATTCTGACAGAACAACTATTGTCATTATCTCACGCGCAAGTTGCGTCAAGGTTGCGATATGGCATATGTATATGGGGTAACTCTACACTAACTTCAGATGTGTTTATTGTACAGAAAAGAAATATTCATATAGTAGCAGGGATATATTTCGAAAATTTAGAATTTTGACACTATCCTGTATGTACATTTTCGAACTGTCAATCTATGTTTTTAAAAACAAACAAATGGAAGTATTCATAATGTGAACACTAGACAAAAACGTGATCTCCATGTTTCGTTTCGTCAATATGAAACAACATTAAATTGTCCATCAGTGGTAGGTCTTACTATTTTCAATAAGCTCCCTAGGTGTCTAAAAGATATAACAAACCTCAATAAATTCAGTAACTTGTTGAAGAATTATTTGATTGAGGAATGTTTTTATAATTTGCAAGAATTTTACGATTCTTAATATGTAAGTGTATCTGTGCTGTATTTTATTTTATTTTTATTTTGTTGTTATTGTTTTAATAACAACGGTGTTGGTCACACTGTGAATTTTGTGCCATGGCTTTATGTGTACTTTGACGATTCCAATACATGTTATCTGTGTCTAATGGAAAATAAATATTATTATCATTATTAACATGTACCTAACTCGTGTCCCGTTCAAAATGATATTTCAGTTTATATAACATCCAGAATTTGACAAAAAATAAAAATAAATAAAATATGGCAAATAATGAATTCTCACCTGGCTGATACCATGGCGTTCATCAGATTGTCTGAAAGAAATGTGTACAAGTACATTGAGGTATTATCCAGAAAAATGTTGATTTTTCGGCTGTCATATGCCATATCCTAGTATGTATGAACGTTGAGTGGGATTATTGTTTTGAATAGTAATTTGAAATACTTTTCCAGAATCTACTATAATTCCCAGCTTGACTCAACCAAATTTTTTTTTAGTTCCGAGGTCCATTGTCAATCCATCATGCGGGTCTAAATTCAACGGACCAACAACAACATTCACATCAACGGACTACGTAGAATTAAATGGCGTAAATTACTACAAAATATCGCCTAACTATTTTTATGCTGGAGAAGGCACTAGGAACCTCCGAATAAGTGAACTGAGTTACGGAAGTATCGATGTGTGCATTTCGAGAGATCAAATAAGGCCCAGCTTTCAGACAAGCGAGTGCCAAACACTCAAGTCGAGCGTTCTAACAAAAGATATATCGGGATATTGTGATGGAACAACGCTGTCTGCTTGCTCTCCAATATATATTTCGATATCAGGAAATACAACACAATACAAATGCAGAGGTGGGTCCGATATTTCAGTTCGTATAATGATTTCAATAATGACAATGAATTATATCGAATTATTAGAAAAGGCAAAATCTGCCTTCCCAGTTCATCAGTATTATAAAGAGGAATATATAATCTTTCAGATATTGAAGAAGTCATTTTTTGTGGAGAAAAATCAGAGTTCTAATCAACCTTCCACAATCTGAAAAAATATGAAAATTGTATCGGAAAACTTTATACAGGTGTAGAAAAGGTAAACGTTTCATTTCACCCCGATAAGTTACTGAGTAAATTCAAAGTATTTTTCACAAAAAATGTTCTCTTCATCAGTAACATGTCGTATTTAATAATCTTGCTTATCAAAAAACGGACTTTGAAGTTATTCAAATATAAAGTCTTCCAACTTCCGAACTTTGACAACGGCCATTTTATTGAAGCTACATCTGTCAAATTGGTTGTCATTTATTAAGTCTGTTTTGCAAAATCACAATGGACTGATTTATAGCATTCAACAGAAGATTTCGCGTTGCTCACAAGAACTTGGCCTTTCGCAGACCACAACTTAGCGAATTTTGCGTCGTGACTTAGGCCTGCACCTGTACAAAATTCAGCTGGCCCAGGAACTGAAGGTGAACGACCATAGATAATGACGTGTGTCCATTGAATGGGCTCTGAAGCAGTTGACTGACCGTAATTTTCATCGACAAATCATCTTCAGCGATGAGGCCCATTTCAAGATGAATGGGTACGCAAACAAACAAAAGTGTCGAATTTGGGACAATACCCATCCAAATGAGATCCAAGAGCGACCAAGACACCTCGAAAAAGTCACTGTTTGGTGTGGATTTTGGGTTGGCGTTATCATAGGTCCATATTTTTTTGAGAACGACTTTAGCCAGGCCATCACCGTCAACGGCGAGAATTATAGGTCGATGATCACCAACTTCTTTTGGCCTGAATTGGATGATCACCATCGACATGTGGTTTCAACAGGACGGCGCTGCGTACCATACAACTCAAGCCACATTGGATATTTGGCACGAGCGCTTTGAGGTCATGGTCATTTCACGTGATGTGAAATGGCCACCGAGATCTTGCGATTTGACCACGTTAGACTTTTTTGTGGGGTTTTCTTAAGTCGCAGGGGTATGCGAATAAGCCACAAACCAAAGCCAACATAACCTAGGTTAAGTTATCTAAGAACAATTCGTTCAGGCCAGTCCCAACTCCCTACACAGTAGGTTAATGGACTGACACCTCTCAGAAAACAACTACTCCCCTGGCTAATACCACGAAGGGTGTTGGATTATATCCGACAGGTGTCAGTGCAGGATTCTTCACAGAAGTTATTCCTGCATATGCTGTTGGCGATACAACTGCTGCAATAGATTTTCAATTATTGGAACACACTTGCAGACCGGTTTCGGGCTGTTTGGCCACTCTTCAGTGCAAGGTAGTGTACATCATCAACATAAAGTCGATGATTTCCGATAATCGAAAATCGAATTCCGTCAGAGTATCATTCCTCGAACTAAGCTGAAGCATACAACAAACAACAGGATATAATCCAACACCCTTCGTGGTATTAGCCAGGGGAGTAGTTGTTTTCTGAGAGGTGTCAGTCCATTAACCTACTGTGTAGGGAGTTGAAACTGGCCTGAACGAATTGTTCTTAGATAATTTGATTTATAGCCAGTCTTCAAGTATGCCCACTGACTATATGTGAAAGTTTTCTTTCCTTATACGAGGAATTGGGCAAATTTCGGATATGCAGTTGGTTACCTCGTTCACAGGCAGATGGAGCGACGACAAACCTGTTGTTTGTTGTATGCTTCAGCTTAGTTCGAGGAATGATACTCTGACGGAATTCGATTTTCAATTATCGGAAATCATCGACTTTATGTTGATGATGTACACTACCTTGCACTGACGAGTGGCCAAATAGCCCGAAACCGGTCTGCATGTGTGTTCCAATAAATGAAAATATATTGCAGCAGTTGTATCGCCAACAGCATATGCAGGAATAACTTCTGTGAAGAATCCTGCACTGACACCTATCAGTGCAGGTATTAGCCAGGGGAGTAGTTGTTTTCTGAGAGACGTCAGTCCATTAACCTACTGTGTAGGAAGTTGAGACTGGACTGAACGAATTGTTCTTAGATAATTTGATTTATAGCCAGTCTTCAAGAATGCCCACTGACTATATGTGAAAATAACCTAAGTTATCGGTCAAATTCAGCCTGAGTCATGAAAAGATGGACGTTTCGTATGCGCTCAACCCAGAGAAGCCGTGGCGTACATTCCACTCATAATGGCATCAATAGGCGTTTCAAAGGAAAGAAAAATTTTGATGATATCTTTCACACACTTTTCTTTTGTTCACATTCAAATATAGAGAACGCCTAAGACCCTATACTTATCTCAAAGTTTCGGAGGCTAGTGCGCTTTATTTTCTTCAAAACGGGTAGCCAAGTACGATCCATTTCAAAGGAACTGTTTGAAATAGACTTTTTCCCAGGCAATCATTCATAGACATTTAACCAGATCACCCATTTTTGTGTATGGCTCTTCAGATTCCTGAAAGAACGTTTCCTGCAAGTGGCCGTTGATGAATATCTTTCGAATAATTTTACCATCTACGCTAGTGTTCCTCAGGGAGCTATATTGTCTCCAACCCTCATTTCATCGTATATTAACGACCTATTGGAAAAAAACAAGAATCCAATATATTGCTTTGCTGACAACAGCACACTTGTCTCGTCATTCCATTTGGATTCCAGGACATCGGCTACGGAGACACATCTTTACCAGCAGCAGGAGTTTACATATCTTAATGAGGATCTAGAAGTAAGTTCGAATTGGGGTGAAACTAACGAATTTCGATTCAATGCGACACAAACCCCGACATGCGTTTTGTCCAAGAATATAAATGTCTCCGAACCGGATATAATAATGTCAGGTCAGACAATTCCGCTTTCTGCTTCCATAAGTTTGCAATGACATGATTGTGCCATGCTTGGAATACTGTTCCGAATCAGAAAACTGTACACACCTCAGCAACTTTTGATGCTTTATAAAGCCCAGACCTTCTTTGGTGTATTGTTCTCATGTTTGGAGCTCTGCCCCCAAACATAACCTGAAGTTGCTGGATTCCACCCAGAAAAGAGCCATCCGCCTGACTGGAGACGCGAACATCACGTGCAACATTAATAGCCTGGAACATGGAAGAAAGGTTGAAGATTTGTCTCTCTTCTATAGATACTTCCACGAGAAGTGTTCAAGAGACTTGGCACATTTGATTCCACCATGAGCGGTATATATTAGAAATACGCGACGGAATGTGGCTGCTCATCGTTTTGAGGTTCAACTCAGTACATCTTGACCTTTACTGTTTATGAGCTCATCAAATTTGTCAGAACAACACGAGAATCATCACCAATGAACCCCACTCTAAGAGACGTATACTCAAAGAATCAGAGTATATTTTTATATCTAGACTCAGAGAGAATATCGACAAGGCCTTTTCATCACAAAATTTTTTTGTGCTCATGCGTCAGTATCAGCCATCTTTTTCGTACTGTTTTTTGTAAGCAACGATGTTAAAGAGCCCGCAACTCAAGTTTTAAAGATTAAACTATAAACTGAAGTTTATTAATTGTAAAAAAAGTTTAAAAAAAATAAAGTAAGTCAAAATAATCAGAAAAAAATTTTATACTCCATTATAATTATGTTATCTGTACGAAAAGGAACAACAAAACGGTGTTGTTATGGAGTATGTAAAAGTGATATAGGATACAAATCATTCAAAACCATTTCTATTAAACTATAAAACTATTTCATAAATTTTCCAAAGCCTTGCCTTGAATATCGCAAAAAAATAATCAAATCTTCAAGCAAATTACATATTAAAGCATGTGCAAAATATGCGAAATCTGAATTATAGGTGAAAAAATGTGGCAGTAGTGACCGAGGCTTTAAATCTATCGATGATGTTACCAAGGATACTTATATTTGCTCACTACATTTCATTGGAGACAGTGGTCCAACTGAACAAAACCCTGATCCTTTAAGCTATCAGGAATTTCAACATACGTACATTGTTTCTTATTTTTTACTGTAAATTTCATATATATTATGTTGTATTGAATATTTCCCTCTATAAAAATTACTAAACATATTCAATTCAGTATTTACATATTTGTCTTATTGATAATGTCCATATGTACATCCATAAAATATTAATGGCTTGATTTATTTATTAGTTCCATAAGTAATACTCTTGTCAACTGAAATATATTTTCAATTACATCAAATAAATTGACATTATTAATAAGAATGAAACTGTAAATACTATTTTTTTATATATTTTTAGATAGTAAACAAATGCTGCGATACTTAACCTCTCAATCAGCTCACTTTTTTCCTTTTTGCGGACTCCATAACAAGTTTTATATTTTTTAAGATTGTGGAAGGTAAAAACACCTGTTCATTTATATGTCTAGAGATTGACCATATCTCAGTATTATTCAGATTCCAGTTCTTTGTGTTTCTCATACATTTCAACAATCAATTGTAATAGCAAGTATTTGACAATATATCTGTAATCATGTTAGTTCGATTTCAAGTCTTTGTTTTTAATGTTTCAATAATATGATTGTATGAGAAATAAAAATAATTTTTTCACGAAGTAACATACTAGAACCCCACCTTCAGTTAGGAAATTTTTGGAGGCTAGCTGCCAACTTCAGTTAGTTGAAGTGAAAGTTTACATTTTTTATCGAATGGTGTCGTTCTATATATTGATAATTTTTTTGAAAAATGTTAGTTGTTGAAAAAATTCATATACTACTTACTTTTGCACTTCACAGAAATATATATGTTACATGGGAAGAAGGGACATATTCTGTTATGCTTGAGGTTGATATTGGGGTTCCTCAGGGATCGGAACTCTTCCTAATCTCCCTTCCAAATATCAATTACATTTCCCAACATATAAGAATATTATCGAATGAACTCTTTGTCAATGACACATTGATATTCAGATGAATACACGATGATATATGCTTCTGAGATTTCAAAATTTCTAGGGTTAAGTACATATAGATATTGGGTTGATTTGGAAATTCTAAATATTGCTTGACCACACTTTTATTGCTCAGAAACATATAATTCGTGATTCATAGGTACACATACAGAACTATAAAAACCTATTTTCGAATTGTTCCGATTCTTCCTTCAGTCGTATACAAATTTATTGAATTTGAACCACTATAAAGGAAAAGTGAAAACTCCCTTTCCTGCAGAAAGAATTGTGAACTGAATTCGTATTTGAATTGAATGTACACAAAGTGAAATGATTTTTACTTTTCCAGATAATCTGTGCCGCTTCCCAGAAAATATTAAATACAGTATATCTCTTGAGAACGTCGGCTGTGCAAGTGGATCAGTTCGCGTGGTAGCAAATCTCGCTCTAGTTTTCAGTTTCTTCCTATTCATGCGTTTTTAAATATACCTACCAATATACTCCTATTTATTGTCTATTGTCAAATACCGAATGGTTTTATAAGATAATTTATAGGTAACAATTTTTTGTTCAGTTTTCATTCCAAATTGGTTGGTAGTAACTCTGAAATATTTTCTCTTTGACTCCTAGTAACGTGACAGAGGAGGTTACAGAAAAATATGAATAATTTGCACCAAATAGGATTCAGCATATCTTCTATATAAATGTTTTCTTGTGTATAGGGGCAACATCATTCACTGAATATTAATGCAACATGTTTATTGAATATGGATGTTGGATTGAGAAAGGACAACAATTGTGTAGTATCATTTTGTACATAATTTTATTAATATGATTAATAAAAGCTTTCACACTTTTACTTTTTATCGTTTACGGAAGACTACATATTCAATATGGAAACGTACCAGTTACCACGTTAAAATCCTCATAAATTACACAAAAAAGACTTGTGAGGTTTCTTTTGTTCATTGGTTATTTTGTAAAACCCAGTTTAATGTGATACTTTTGTTGAAAGTGGGAGTATATCATCCTATTATTCAGAACGAAATACACTTTTATAGAATAGAGAGTGAGAATATGACAAACGAAGAAAATGAAAAAATATTTAGTATACGATGAAGATAATACTTTTGTCTAATTTCTACTCAGTTTATTATTTGTTACGACCGATTTTGGTTTGTTAGACCATTCTCAAGTAACTCAATGAATTTCTACAAAATAAATAGGTCATTAATCGATCAAAAATAATATTTACTTATGATGCACTGTTTGGAACCTTTGGTGTAGTAATAAGTATTACTGGAGCTTCCTCCCAACACCAAATCGTTATTTTAACACCTCGACACGTGTTTCGNTATAAAATTCTTGCAAACTATAATAGGGCCTCTCGCTAAGAAAATCCTTTGTAGATTTTCGAAATTCAGTATAGATTACTACGCATTTAAGGTAGTTTGGAAGATGATTATACATCTTGAGACCATTATACAATATAGAATTTTTAATTAAAGTAGTGTTAGGTATGGGAAGACTTAAATTTAGGGTCTGGCGCGTGGTGTAATGTTCTATGTTTATGCACTAAACAAATTGTTTCTAAAATGAATAGAGCATAAAGTGATAAAATGTTTGCTGGAAACAAAGGCCTACAAGAATCTCACCGCCTGGCTCTACAGAGAAATCTTAATGACCTTTTCTGCAGAATAAAAATCGACTCGAGTCGAGTTTGATTGCTCACCCCCCAGAAAGGGATCCCATATCTTAGATGTGATTCTACTAATGAATAATAGACATTTTTAGCTGCAGTCAGTCCTAGTTCGTTAGAAGTTATTTTCACAACATAACATCCAGATGTGAGTTTTTTGTTAAGAGATAGTATGTAAATCTCAAATTTCAATTTATTATCAATTAATAACCCAAGAAATTTGTTGCATGACGTGTTCTCAATCACATTCGAATTCGAAGCTAGAGGAATATTATCAAGAATGCAATCAAAGGATAAAACTTTAGTTTTTGAGACATTGAAAGCTAATAAATTTGCCTTATACCAATCTGAAAGTTTGGAAATATCAGAGCAAATGGCATTATATAGATTATTTGTGTTGGTATTTCGCCATAATATTGTAGTGTGGTCGGCGAATAAAGTAAATTCACCCTCTATATCAATTGTAGTCAAGTCATTGATATAGAGTAGAAATAGGGTAGGTCCCAGTACTGATCCTTGTGGTACTCCGTTAGATATGTCTGAAACATATCTACCCTCAATACCATAGAGATAAAGTTTCCTGAGCAGAATTTCGTGATTAACGCAAAAGACTGCTGCTGTAATCTCCCGTCTATTATTGTTACTATTCACTTCATATAAAAATGAAAATATGGCATAATGAGTATTTTTGTTTGAATGAAATCCAAATTGTGTGGAGCTTATTATATTACCGAAGTTCAAATGTTCTGTTAAACATATTTTTACCAGTTTTTCAATAATTTTTGCTAACGATGGAATAAGAGAAATTGGGCGATAGTTCGAAGGATTCTCTAGATCACCACCTTTGTAAAGAGGGATTACGATCGAAGTTTTTAAGAACGAGGGAAATGAACCCTTTAGAAATGGATGATTGATTGCCTTCGTCAATGCATTTAGAGCAGTAGCAGGAAGATTTTCAAAGATTTTCATGGATAATTCGTCGTTACTAAATGCCGATTTATTTTTAAAGGAAGCGATTATTGCCTGTTATTCGCAAACATTAGTAGGGTGTAAAATTAGTTTCTCGTAAGAAATTACATTGCGTAATTTCTCAAGGGGATCATACGGTGCGTCAGATTTATTAGTTAAAGTGGCGGCTATTGAGCAATAACATTTATAAGGTTCATCTATTGGTATTGGTATTTCTGCTCGTTTATTTTTACACTTTCCTCGAAAGTCATTTATAATAGTCCAAGTCTCTTTAGCTCAATTACTTGCTTTGGCAATCCTTTTTTGATGAAAATTACATTTTGCATGGTTAATCAGGTTTTTATAAATGTTTTTGTATTTTTATTATCTTTTGATGGGGAAAGGAGTTATTAAAAATGGACCAGAGCTGATTATAAAATGTTTGGAGAGGATCAATAACATCCCGAGTATGTTCCCAATTAATTTAATTACATTTGAAATAGAACCTATTATAGTTTGCTGTACTGTAAAGTCTACCATACTTGAACTTTTCACCTTGTTTTTTAGAATTGATGTTAACACTGAAGTGAATAGCTTCATGATCAGATAATCCAGAAGAAATAACAGTGCATGACCGGAAATTATCGTCAAAAGTTACTACATACATAATCAATAATCGAATTACTGTTGTGTTATACGAGTTGGAATATCAACATGCATTTTCAAGTCAAAAGAAGTTAGTAGATTCATCAGCGACTGTGTTAAAATCGATTCAGCTTCGTCAAAATTAATATTAAAGTCCCCCGTAAGAATAATATTTGACTTAAAAGGAATTTCTATGAGCAGTGATTCGAGTTGAGAAAGGAAGGTGTTGATGTCAGAAGAAGGTGATCGATGAATACATAAAATATAAGGATACATTGTAAAATTAATTTAAGACTAGATAAAGGAATATTGTGAACTCCAGTAATATTAAAAAAATGTATTGTAACACGGTACGACGTGGGTGCTTTGTTCACTCACTCGAATTGACCGCCATGTTGGTCACTGGTTCAAGCCCCAGACTGAACTATCGATTTTCACTTGCTATCGTCCAACCCGTGTTAGGAATCATACGTTGAAAGGAAAGTCCTTAGCTCGCACAAGACTTCTGAGGGTTGTCGTTCGTAGGGATGCGACAGCTGGTTAACGGAAAAACAGATTTTAAACAAACCTTGTTCTAATGATGATCTATTATTTCCATAGAAATTCATATTGAATAAACAATTCCCATGGATTCTTTCAGTCCCCTATCACATACATTATCTGCATTCAGATCGTTGACACATTGAGAATTCATGATTCCGTTATCAAAGACGGATTTTAAAGAAGAAATGAACATCATGGAGCGGATGGCATTGGTAATAATCACATTTCAGTCAACTGAATTGAGAAACCGATCGCCAATAAGACTCAAACATTGATCAGGAACGAACTATATCTAAATCATGAAAGACACAAAGAAGCTGAGGAATACGCTATAATATATTCGGGAAAGCTCTCTGAAAACATTCAAAACTATTTTTTGAAATTCAACATCACATCATTTACTAGTAAGAATAATTTAGGGAACATGTTATTCAACACAAAACCGAAAAGGGATAAGTGGAAAAAATCGGGCATATATAGACTAGAATGTGGTAACTGTTCAGCGGCTTATACAGGCAAGACAGGCAAAAATTTCAACATGAGAGAACATGAGCACGTATTATCAGATAAAAAATCAGCTATATATGGACATCTACAAGAAACAAACCACATATCAAATAAAGAAAACATGAAAATTATCATACGTGCAATAAAGGAAGGAAAATGAATTTGTTAGAAGCATTAGAAATAAATAAATTGTATGAAAACTCCTAAAACCATCAATGACCAACTAGAACTATGCAACTCTCCCTATTTGAATTTGTGAATTTTGACAAATAGTTTATGATCCATCGGTAGTTGAATAAATCGACATGTAGAGTATTTGGATCAATAATTGGTAATTTTGATATGTTATAAAAGTTAAATAGTTATTGTTTCAGTATTGGTATTGATAATCTAGGTAATATTTTGATTATTCAGGTACCTTGCAGGTACCAAAAGCACATTGACTGTATCATTGTATATTTAGGTTTAACAAATCGAAACTGGTCGTAACAAATGGAAATCTTAGAAAGAAATCAGACAATCAAAGAATATTATGGAACATTTGAAAATATACATTCCAGCTCAAAATGGAACGATCAAAGGAGCTGGTGTGGTAGCTCTCTGTTTTCACATCCAAGAAAAAAACTTTTTACCTGCTAGGTGTGCTTGTGAAAATATGAGGGCTAGAATTTTCGCCTTCTAGAAATGTCTAGAATAGTACAGAACAACCTACAAAATTTCAGAACATTCCGGAACATTCTGGAATGTTTGGGAATAATTTGGAACGTCCGGAAACATATTAGAATAAATCAGATGATTGCAATACGATCAAGGGAGTTATGTGATGTGGTAGCAATCTATCCTCTATGCAAGAAATAGGTTTCCGTTTTCACCTGAAGAATATGCTGTCGAAGTGATTGAGTCTAAAAGTTTTGCTCTCTATAAATTTTCAGAACAATCCAGAACATTTGAGATTATTTGAAAGTATTCCACAATATACCAGTACATACCGGAACTTCCTGAAATGTGGATCATTCGACAATAGCCTGAAACATCTCTGAACATGTCAGATCAGTCATTGTGCACAATTCCAGAAGAGTGTACAAAGCTTTGGGATGTTCTGGAACATTGTAGACCATCAGAAGCCTTTTTTGTATGGGTGGGGCTATCCACTGGTAGCGATGTATGAATCAAAAACCATCGACCTCTTATAATTCGAAGTTCATCCTTTCATATATAGTCAGTGGGCATACTTGAAGACTACCATACAATCTCGTATCAGCTCCCTGATTGAAGCCGGTTATTCCAACCAGTAACTGATAATGATGGCCTACGATGAAATTCACTCAAACAAAAGTATATTTACAGCTATCAGTTTTTATTTTGTGAAAGGCAACTACTTCTCCACTTATTTTCTCGTGCAATAGTTTTAATTTTGCGATAACAGATGATAATTCAAATTGCATGATGTAAAAGGCAGTTAAAATTTGCATGAAATTATTAAAGTAACTGAAGTAAGAATAAGTGATAAGGATCAA